CGAGGATCACGATCTTTGCGGAGGGGATCTGCTGTAGCAACGAATCTGTAGCCATTTGGACGTGGTCGAAGAGTCGGTCTGTTTCGGCATTACCGCTATGGGACCTATAGAGGCCGTATACGCGCAACCGTAGACGCGCGGATGGTTGTCGCTGTCTACTCGTAGCCAAAGGATGGACAGATCCGAACCTTCAAGACTGCCGAGACGTCGAAAACAGATGTTCTCTCTGACGTAAACGCAAACTCCAGCCTGAGGCACAAAGGAGTGTTCCAGTTTGTACCCCGGGTAGGAGAGATACGAGACATCAGCCGGAGAGGACACCTGCGTCTCGGTCAGAAAGAGCAGAGCCGGCCTCGCCGTCTCAAGATGGTAGTGGACGGCGTTTAGGTTAGAGTGAAGTCCCCTGATATTGCAGAAATTCACGGACAGCGTGGCAGGGGTCGCCTTGGTCTTGTTGCTCCGTTTGCCCCGAGCAATTGTAGTCTTGAGCGGCATTTTGTCCCCCCCCCCAGAATACGCGGGGCAGCCCGAGCACCCACGCTCAGAAGTGGAGAAACATGGTTGTGGATGCTCAGCGAGGGATTCTCCAGGGGTGCTGGTACCCTCTTGGGGTAGTCTATCATCATTTAATTCCGCTACCATGTTGATGGGTGGGGGGGGATTTGGGCCTCCGGCCACCTTCACTCACCAGACGAAACGCGGAAGCAAATCTTCCACTTCACGCCGGTATTCTGTGAGGTCGTGGTACCACCCCGGTTTGAGCCGGCCCATACATGCAACAGCAAGGCTGAGGCGTGGCTCAACCACTGTTAAATTTCTTCTAGTACGGGGTCCATTTTTCCCACTCAAGCCTTTTACGTATTTTAGTTCTAGACTTTTTATCTCTACTGCTCGGTGTAGAAAACTCTTGAACTTCAATCTCAGAGGGTTTGTTCAGATCTTTTGCTTGAAGTTGGTTAATAAATTCACATCTCTTTGGATTTCCAATATAAGTAAGTGGTACTTTAATATCTTTTAATGCTTCAGCAAATCTATCCCACCCTACTGGATCACTTCTTTTTAAGGGTCTTAGTGAATCATTTATTAAATCAACAATATTACTTCCAGGAATTTTTTCATTATCAATTATGACTGTACCTTCATTATCCCAATGTATTTTACTTTTACTTGTTTCAACTAAGTTTAATAATAACTGTCCCTTTTTATTATAAGTTTTTGGTGTTAAACTGAGTATTTGAGCTGGTGTGTAAAGTTGGTTTTCATCATTTTCTTTACTTTTAATGGATCTATTCTCCTCCAACAAAGATTCAGCATCAACTGAAGTTTTTAGATCTCTATCTTTATTTTTAAAACCAATTTTAGACTCATTTGAATCTTCATTAGATGTATCAGAATAAATTGGTAATCTGAGTGGTTGACGATCCTCTTAGGTAAAATGAAGGTATCTTTGCAGTGTTTGTAAATATAACATCCATTTCTTTCGGTCTTCCGTCTTACTATTCATAACATTTTGCATTTCATTATCTAATCGAGATAAATCACTATTAACCTTATTTTGTTGTTTTAATTTTTCAATCAATCCAGGTTCGATACGTATCATTTTCTTTGCATTTTCCATGTTAACTGGCTAGTCCACTCACTAATCCACTCAATATTGCACCTAATATTATTGGTAAGAAAGCCCCTCCTTTTTGTATAATATATATTTTTTCCTAGTTTATGTTTTGAGTATATTTTTGTGTTTACTCAATTTTTGTTTATCTTGATCTTTAAGAGGTACTTTTCCTTGTAAAACGTTATGAATACACTCACAAATACAGTTTAATTTCTTCTTCATCACACGTTTTAAGTAATGCTCTTTGATACTTTGGTTTGAGCGTATGCAAAGCGTTTACCAAATGTTTATGCGTTGTGAGTCGACGAAAAATTAATTTTGGGTTATCTGGTGACACTTGTCGTGCTAAATATCTTATTTGAGTTTTATCTCGAGTGTTTTCAAAATATATTATATAACTTGAGTTTACAGATATGTCTCTTTGCCCTTTACCCCGATGAAATAAATTTTGTGTTAAATAAAATTCACTGAGATTCCTGTGACGACTACCTTTTGTAAATATATCCACAATTCTTTCATCGGACTCTCTCATTAGATCATCAATAATAACAAGATGTGGGTTTTCACCATCAAACATATTAAGATTTGGAATTCGTTGATGATAGTTAACATTTGGTAAATTATATAAAGGTTGCATTTCATCAAAGCACCATGTGATCTGATTAAAATCACAATTACATATTTCTGTAACTGATTTTATGAAATTTCCCACATCCACTTGGTCCTGCCACAATAGCAGTAAACCGATGTATAAAGTGAAACATTACACACGTCTAAAGTTCTAAGGGGTGAAATAAAAAATGAAAGTGTTGGTGTAAACAATTAATATATATTGTTTACTATAACTAATGTTTTTGGGAAATCAAACAAAATTTATGATTAATTTAAAATCTTATTTTCAAGCAATAATCACTTGTAAAAAACCCACACTTCATCACAAGAACAATATAAAATTTTGTGATAATTTTTTTGCAAATATAGGATTACACACATAACGTTTGTTTAAATTTACGCATTTACCAAATCATTGTATTTTGGACATTGTATTCTTCAATATTAAAAATTCTATCATTCGTCGTCAACATTTTTAAAAATTGTTTTTCTGCTGAACCACCTTTGTATGCGAACACTTCGTCTTTGCACAGATTTCTAATGTACCAATTTAATATGGGAATAATGGTCTCTTGTTTGTAGGCACATTTTAATTCTTCGGTCACGTCAAAATATGGAATGCCGTGCACGTGTATTTCGCAATAACGAACAGTTTTTTTTGTTTTTTGGCGACAAATAATTGAAAGGATAACTTGGCCGAAACAAATAATAACCGATAAACGCATAATTTTTATTAGATAGTTTTACGTCTAGAATAGCCATTTCTCTAAGTAAGAAGTTGTGAAGAGATCAATAAATAAATAAATAAAATAAAATAAAATAAAAATTTCTCTACATTGAAAATGTTTATGAGGATATGTATTGTAAAATCCGTCCATGTCGATGATGTATCTAATATTTTTTAGATTTTGTGTCATTTTGAACCAAAAAGTTAAAAGTATTTACACGTGACTAAAAATATGTTTGTTCCAACATACTTCACATAACAATGCTTCATTACTTTCCATCATCCCATCTCTTCCTTCTGCTCTTGTCTTCCTGTAATTTAAGTAAACATAATCACATTCACTAAAGATCAACTAATGACTGTGATTGTTAAAAAGTATTTTTTAACTTTTTCACTTTCTGCTATTGTCTTTGTATTTAGGACTAGGAAATGTCCGCTGCGCTGCCTCAATGCGTGTTGGTGAACTTCACATGCCTTCGAAATTTTCTCAGACATACAGGTTTCCTCACGATGTTTTCCTTCACCGCCGTGGTACATCAAACGTGGTAAATCAACACTTAAAATTGCAATTAACAATTTAATTGGTGCCGGTGGGGATCGAACCCAGGTCGCGTACTGTGAAATTTACAGCATGCGCTAACCATCTGAGCTACCACGGCTTAATCATATACACACACAATATTTAAATATAATTTGTTAACACTAAATCATACACACGTAAGAAAATAACAGAAAGAAAAGTAAGTTTGTCAATAGAATAAACACTTACATCCATGGCCTTTGATGCGTTGAAGTAACACAAATGTAGTATTGATAGAATGTAGTATTGATAGGTCAAACGACCATACACTAACTAAGCACCAGTAAGTAATTATTCTAATCTAAAGAATTTCTGCAGTGAAACTAATAGTAACTTTATGTGTCAACAAGCTTATCTCACATTCTGTTGTATATCTAAACATTTCTTCGTGTTGCGTCTTGCTCGATGTATCGATGACTCAAATACGATTTGTATATCACAAAGAATGCAATTTAATATTTAGAAATCACTATAATTTATCATTCCTATGTTAGTCATTGAGTAGATTGGTACTGTAATAATCTACTAATAGCAGTAATATCATGGATACACTAGATGTACAACAACATCTGAAAAAGATTCACCCCAGTCTAGAAAATAATGTTTATGCTGCTAATAGACTGCCCATGTATACCCACGTACCAACGTATATAATATGCAATTTGGATACAGATGATAAACCAGGGTCACATTGGGTAGCTTTATATATCGATACGAATGACGTCGGTCAATATTTTGATTCATATGGACGATCACCTGTACGATATCATCTAGAGTTTTTAAAAAGGAATTGTAAAAGATGGAACTGGAATGTTGATAGGATTCAGAATGAGTGGACTTCAGTTTGTGGCGAATATTGCATAATGTATTTGCTATATAAGTTTCAGGAATGTTCAATGCATAGTTTTACGAGTATATTTACAGGGAACACATTGTACAACGATATTTTAGTGGATGAGATGTTTCGCTCCTATTTTATAGATAATAAGTAATAAGATTTTGTATTTTGTAAATAAAAATTGTAACAAAATTAGGTAATGTGTTTTATTGATTATTCAGATTAGCGTTGTAGATAGGAACAAAGAAGTATAATACAATAGCACTGATAAGCCGACGCACACGCCGAGGAAGTATAGACAATGACAATAGATAAGAACAATGGGACGCTAATGACGGTGGAGGCCCTCACCGGATATCAATTAGATATTAGTTAATTGATCTGAAACTTCCTCGGAACCGTGCATCCTACGCAAAAATGGAGATTTCCGCAGATTCGTGATCAGAGCATGCTAAAACTTTTTTTTAGGATCGTGAGTCGACGAACGTTGTACCACTTCTGACTCAGTGAGCCAGAACTGGTACAACGTAACTACTACAATTCTTGTAAATAAAAACAAAAGTTTGTTGAATCTGATAATGTATTGAGTACCCTACAAAAACAGAACTTCAATTTTGTAATTACTTACTTAGCACCGGCTTCACCAATCGTTTCCTTGTCATCATCCCCCACTACCTCGTCTTCTTCAGATTCAGAATCGGATATCTCAACCAAATCTTGCTTACATTTGCTTGTTTCTAGCTCAAGGAGCGGCATAAAGGTTTTCATGCCGTTAATCAACTTCTAAAGGTAGAAAACAATTAATGTAGCATAATACGTACTTACTATACTTATAACTATATATGGGAGTCGGGAAACTCAAAGTCTAGACGCTCGCCTTAAATTTTTATAGAGCAAACCGAATTCAAATTCCACAATGGCACCAATTAAACTATGCTTAATATTAATGTCGGAGGTAAGAAAAACTGCATTCTTAAAAAATTAAAAATACCCATCTTAACATGGTAGAGCAACGCTGAGCTATATTATGGTTGTAGCACGAATGGGTTGGCTCATGTGGCAACCATATTATAGTTCATCATGACCAATGAGTCCATTGATTTATATATTACACTAGATCAGTAATAACCATGCCAAAGCGTTGCCACTACACATATGGCCACAGCCATATTCCTAGCTAACGTCAGTTCAGTGTTCAATGTGACGCCGACAGAGTTGAGCCGCGACAAAAAATGGGTAAATGTGTAGTGAAAGAATGCTATTCAATGTCACAAAAACGTAATAAATCAAGCGGAATCACTTTCAACATGTAATTTTTAGTTCTTGTTTTCATATAAACGTAAAAAACCTCAAATAATTAAATAAAATTATCGAACATTGCCATTTAGGTTCAATGTTGCCACTTTTGTGCATTTGTGAATATCCTACATTAATGGGAGACTATATACGAGTAATAATAATTAATGTAGAAGTTAATATGTTACCTATGATTTTAAATATTTTTGAAATTATAATAAAAACTACGTTTTAACTTTCATACAAAATAATTAATTATTCTTATTTTAGTTTATTCGTGAATAACCTATTAAATATATTTTATTACCTATTTTATATTTATAATTTTATATAAATTATAATTTCATATAAATTTTATATTAATTATATTTTATCACCTATTTTATATTGTTTGATTTATTAGTACAATAAAAATACTATAAGTATTTTTATAATAATTATAAAAATATGTTTTATTTCATCATTATGTTTACTTCTATTCATCTGATTTTAAAATAAAATATATTTTTTTAATATAAAAACCATTAACTGCAACTAATAAAATGAATTTTGTTAACTCATTTTATTGCGTATTTTAGGTGAAATTTCATATAGTAAACCACACCAACCCGCCATTAGCGACGATATTGTTTTCGCAACTTCCGTGAGATAGATATAAGTTTATTTAAAATTGTTATTAGTTTCAAAGCTACGTCGTTGCGTTTGGATAGTGGTTACATTTTTTTCGGTAATGTGGTTTGCTCCTCTAGTGTTGTATAACTCAACGAATGAGTCGGTACATCAGCAGCCTAATGCTGCTGTGTTATGTTTGGTAAGTACAGATAAAAGTTCTATCTTAGTCTTCAGGGGTGACAACGCATATACATTTTGATTCTTAATCGACGGTAGACATAAGTACCTATTGGCAACAGCATCCACTTACCATAAGGAGGACTGTGTGCTCGCTTGTCAACCTTATTCTATAAAAGAAACATGTAAAGTTCGCAAAAATGCACTAGATACGCGCGGTATAGTCTTCACTGCTCAAAAACCCAGTAAGCAGTGGGTCATATGCAGGCTGTTGTAATATTCTGTAATAAACCTATACCGTCTTATTATACGTAGCTTTTTGGTAGTCTCTATGGCTAAGAAAAAGTGCCTTAGTTTTGCGAAATTTGCAGTCAAATCACAAAGATTTCTTTTGTGAAACAGATTCTAGCTTAAGCCAAGGCAGATTACTGCTAGACTTGACAATTTTATTTTTAGTTTTTAATAGTTCATATCTTATTCCTAACTTTCTTAAAAAGCTAAAACGTTATTCTAATTAAAACTATAAACGTCAAAAATTCAAAACCAATGTTATTGTCAAATCAGTAACCCAGTTCGTACCTCATTTCTCTTTGCAACCTCTTCAGCACAAGGCTCACAGACTACCGCCTTTTTTTTCCGATCCGATTCGTAGAAAGTCAACACAGTAGAATCAGCCACATAATACTTTGCATCAACAGGGCTTTTACAAGCAGTGTTAACACATTTACTTTTCCCGCGCAGTTTATCTAATTCCTCTTGTGTCTTTACTTTGCTAACTGTAAGTATAAAATGTTCAAAATGAATAACATACTTGAATGTTGATCATGAATTACCCATTTATTATAAAATTAGAACTAACTCACCTTTCTGTAGAACCTCATCATCATCAGAATCAACATTGAACACTTCCAAGCCCATTGATGCTTTAAGCTGCAAAATTAAATTATGTAAAAAATAAAAAATGAAGAATGAATAAATGATATATATATATATATATATATAGAGTCACGCTACAGCCATATTATGGTTGTAGCATGAATGGGTCGGCTCGACCGGGGAAAGACCACGCTCTCACAATATCAGCGTAAAATAGCAGCTTAATGCCGCTGTGTTTCGTATGGTGAGTGTAGAAAACCAAACCCGTTTTACTGGAATTGAGGCATTCTATCTTAGTCGTCAAGGATGGACAACGCATCTGTATCTTGATTCTTAATCGAGGTTAAATGTAGATGTCTATGTGGCACAGCATCCACTTACCATCAGGTGGACTATGTGCTCGTTTGTCACTCTTATCCTATAAAAAAAAGTTCAAAATCATGGATTTGAAGACCCCTTATACTACTTATATTGAATAAAATGTTTCTGTTTCATCCCCCCCATGATGCAATATATGGGGAGGCTAATATTCAGCAGTGGACATTTGATAGGCTGTAATGGTTATGGATCTGCATTAGATTTACAATTTTCAAATATTAAAAAAATATATATATAACACCTTATTAGACAGCCTATACACTTATCTTTATTAATACGAGTACACAATAGTTCTGTGTAGAGGCAGCTTGACGGAATTACACTACACATTACACACTTGACAGAGGGAAATGGACATGGACAGCAGTATCTTCCGGTTCAAATTAATAAAAAATACGAATGTTAACCCACTTGCCAAGTGTGGCAACTATGGCAACATCCATTAAAGGCAACCTTTAGAGGAGGCTTACGTACAGCACCTGAATTTCTGATGTAATGAATGAATGAAAACCGAATAACCACTGTTTCTTGCGACCTGGTTGGTATTTCCGGTCTCGTATTCTCTGAATCGTTTTATTTTCATGGCATTTTTGTTTGTGTTTAACCACTAGATAATAAAAAATCAACGTAACCATTTTTAAAATTGTAGTGATCGGATAATCGGATGCATATTTACCTAAAGTTCATTTTTAGCTAGAACTATTATGGACGCGGCTTCTTGAAACATATTTATTAAAATATAAATCCCATGATTCCAGAAAATACTGAAATAGGAAAATAGTCTCTATTATTGTGAGGAAACGTCGTCTATAGCACGTGGTATTTATTTTTTTTAAAACAGGGGGAGTACGTAGTTATTAATGTGTATTTACTTGAAGTTAATTTTAAGCTCCCCATCAATTTATGAGTGAGCCGTGGTAGCTCAGATGGTTAGCGCTCGCTGTAAATTTCACAGTACGCGAGCAAACCGGGTTCGATCCCCGCCGGCACCAATGAAATTGTTAATTGCAATTTTAAGTGCTGATTTACCACGTGCTCGGCGGTGAAGAAAAACATCGTGAGGAAACCTGCATGTCAGAGAAATAAATAAAAAAAAATATATTTCGAAGACATGTGAAGTTCGCCAACACGCACTGGGGCAGCGCAGCGGACAATTCCTTGCCCTAAAACCCCCTCAGAAATGAGCGGAGGCCTGTGCCCAGCAGTGGGACTTATATAGGCTGTAACTTTACTTTTTAACTTTTTCAGTTTATGAGCATATTAAGTGTTATTACACTACCCACCTACTATCTACTATTCCTATTAGAATGGTAGGTAGTGGATGTTAATAAAAAAAAATTAAGAGGAAGTTATTAATTCTAGTCTTTTTTGATATATGTAAAAGTTAAAACAAGTAAATATACCACACCCGATTTGATTCTATAATAAAAACGGTAAATTTGTCGATTCCGAAATCATCATCATCATCATCATCATTACAGCCCTTCACAAGTTCACTGCTGAACATAGGCCACCCCCAAGTAATGCCACAAAGCACGGTCCTGAGTCACCTGCATCCATCGACTTCCTGCATTTCTTACCAGGTCGTCACTCCATCTAGTGGGGGGTCGCCCTACACTACGCCTACCGGTACAAGGCTGCCACTCGAGAACCTTTCTTCCCCATCGGTTATCGGTTCTTCGAGCTACATGGCCGGCCCATTGCCACTTCAGCTTACTAATCCGTTGGGCTGTCGGTTACTCTTGTTTTACTGCGGATATCCTCATTTGTGAGTCTATCACGCAGAGAAACTCCGAACATAGCCCTCTCCATAGCTCGCTGAGCGACCTTGAGCATCCTCATGCGGCCAGCAGTGAAGGACCACGTCTCAGATCCGTACGTCATCACTGGCAACACGCACTGGTTATACACTTTAGTTTTCAGAGATTGAGGTATACCTGACGAGAAGATGTGTCGTAATTTCCCGAACGCTGCCCAGCCGAGTTGAATCCGTCGATTGACCTCTCGGTCGAAGTTGGACTTACCTAGTCGGACTATTTGTCCCAGGTAAACGTACTCGTCAACAACTTCGAGCATAGTGCTCCCAAAAACTACCGGCATAGGTGTGACATGGACATTAAACATGATCTTTGTTTTGTCCATGTTCATCTTAAGACCTATCCGTTGGGAGACACCATTGAGGTCATTGAGCATAGTGCTAAGGTCCTCCAGCGATTCTGCCATAAGGACTAAATCGTCGGCAAATCGAAGGTGAGTGATGTACTCGCCATTGATGTTAATACCGTAACCTTTCCAGTTCAGTAGCTTGAAAACGTCTTCCAACGCAGCGGTGAAGAGTTTCGGGGATATAACATCACCCTGTCTTACACCTCTCTGCAGTTGGATAGGTTTCGAACTCTGGTGCTGTACTCGGATAGCCATCGTAGCCCTACTGTACAAACACTTCAGCACTTCGATATACCGACAGTTAACTTGGCACCGCTGAAGGGACTGTAGCACCGCCCAAATTTCGACGGAATCAAAGGCTTTCTCATAGTCCACATACGCCAGGCAAAGTGGCAGATTGTACTCTTCGGTCTTCTGTACAATCTGCCGCAGGGTATGTATGTGGTCTATGGTACTGAAGCTTTTTCGGAAACCGGCTTGTTCGGGAGGCTGGAAGTCGTCGAGTCTGCGTGCGAGACAATTCGTAATGACTCTTGAAAATAGCATGTAGACGCGGCTCAGAAGGGAAATCGGTCTGTAGTTCTTCAAGAGAGCGTTGTCGCCTTTCTTAAAGAACAAGACCACCGCGCTTCTGCTCCACGCCTCCGGAGTAGTGCCACCATGGATGACGGAATTGAAGAGCTTCTGAAGGACTTCAAGTACCGGTGTTCCACCCGCTTTCAGAAGCTCCGCTGTAATTCCATCCTCGCCCGGGGCCTTGCCGTTTTTAAGGTGGTGGAGAGCCATTTTAATCTCGCTCAGACTGACGTCCGGGATATCATTGGAATAGTGCCGGATAAGACTTGCTCTTGGATCGTTACTCACACGTGCGTGTGGCTCCAACGATGATGTGTACAGCTGCCCATAGAACCTCTCAATCTCACTCAGAATCTCAGGTGTCCCGGAAACGATGTTGCCACACTCAGTCTTCAGCTTTGACAGTTGGCTCTTTCTGGCAGACAGATCTCTGGCAAAGACTTTGGAGCCCTGGTTCCGCTCGATCGCTTCTTTAATACGAGCAGTATTAAAGTTGCGTAAGTCTCGCCGCACGCATTTGGAGATCTGTCTGTTCAGTTGCCTGTATGCTGTCAAATCTGTTGACGATTGCAGCCTCATCTTCCGTCTAACAGCCATGAGATTAAGAGTGTGATCGGAGAGTTTTTGTGTTCTTCTGCGGCGGGTCTTGCAGAACTTAGCTCCGACCGCATGGACAGTTTCCACGAGCTTGTCATTCATATCGTCCACTGCATTGCAATCCTCTAGGCACTGAAAGCGGTTTTGTAACTCGAGCTGAAAGGTTTCGGGATTATGGATTAGAGCACGAGGGGTACGGAGCGTTGACTTCTTTAGACTAGACCTCTCCAACTTAACGTTTAGGTTCAGTGTGCCTCTAACCATTCGGTGATCGCTGCCAGTTTTCATCCTTGCGATCACTGAGACATCACTGAACAGTTGGCGTCTGGTCGTCATAATGAAGTCAATCTCATTTTTTGTCGACCCCTCGGGTCTCGACCAGGTCCACTTCCTGTGGGGCCGATTCTGGAAGAGAGTTCATCATAGAGTCCCTCTTTCTCCATAAAGTCGGCCAGCTGCTGGCCCCTTCGGTTCCGTTGCCCTACTCCAAATTTCCCTACCTTCAGCTCACCGCTTTCTCTTGTGCCTAGTTTTGCGTTGAAGTCTCCCATCAAAACCGTGTAGTGGGTTTTGGAGGAATGCATGACTCTGGAAATATCCTCATACATTTCCTCCACCTCCTCATCGGGATGTGCCGAGGTTGGTGCGTAAACCTGTATGACCTTCAGCGAATACCGTTTGGTGATTCTGAGTATCAGGTACGCGACCCTCGTCGACACACTCCCAATCTTTACAACGTTGTTGACGAGAGACTTGTGGACGATAAATCCGACACCTCCTTGGGACAGATGGTCGCCCTCCCGGTTGTAGAACAAGTTGCCGGACTCGAGGATTGCCGTGTCCTCCCCCTCTCTTCGGACCTCGGATAATCCAATAATATGCCAGCGCAACTTGCCTACCTCTTCTTCCAGCTCCAGTATCTTCTCGTCAGTCTTCAGAGTGCTTGCGTTATATGTTGCCAGGTCGAGTCATCGTAGGTGGCAACCGAACCTCCACCGGAGATTCTTAGCACCTCTTGCCCCGCCGTTACCATGGTCGCCACTGTAGCCCGGAATAGCGGGGCCGCCGGGGACTGGGGGCCGTTTTTGTGCGTCGTTATTCATGGGGGATATTTGCCTTAGTTGCCACGCTTGGCGAGCAGGTTGGCAACCGCAGTTTTTTATTATATCACAGTTGTTATCAGAAAGATGCTGCTGCCCATCTCCTGCCTGTCTCCCTCTGTCGCCTCTTACGACACCCACGGGAAGATATGGGGTAGTGGATACTCTCAACCGCCACTACACGGCCGATTCCAAAATCCCGGGATTTTTTCTATACATAATATTATGGTCCAACACCTTAAAATAAATAAATATACCTACACCCAATTTGATTCTATAGTAAAAAAAAAATTTGTCGATACCGAAATCCCGGGATTTTTTCGATACAAAAGCGATTCCAGAATAGCCAATACCTCACTTTAGGTTAATATGCATCCGATTATCCGATCACCTCATGTCGCAATGACATGTAAATATTTTATACAAAAATATTAATAAACAAAATCAACAATAGTTATGACGAAAGCTCACAAATTAGCGAAACCTGTTTGTTGTTACCGAAAAAATTTTTTTTTCTATAGTTTTGTTACCATTTATTTCAATGAAAACTTAGGACGAAAGTTATAGGACGTTCGAAAATCGCATATCGCACAACGTATCTTTTTTTAGTCTTTACCGGCGGGTATGTGTATAAATAGCAACAGTGTGCGAGCGAGAGATGAATAGAGACGACGCCATATTCAACATATATTCAATCCAATTTTTTTACCGCACGGGTTAAGTACATATATATAACATAGACTTACCATTTCTTTAACTGAAATTTTAGGTTCATCCATCACACCATCTTCTTGCTCTTTGCTCTCCAAATTACTATCAGATGAGTATTTTTCATTCATTTCTGTTAGCAGACTGGATCGGGACACATCTTCAGACGTTATTGGTGTCTCCGCTTCCGCTCGCGACTTAGAAGTTGTTTCCTTCGTTTCACTAAAATCTTTAACATTAAAAAAATAATCAGTGACTATTCAAGAAATCTGGTATAAAGAAGTCTTGTTATAAAACATACTAATTACAACAATCGCAAAGAAGTTGTTGGTTTGTAAAAATAACCATCAAAGTACATATGGACAAGAATGTGCCTGCTTGGATGCTGCTGTGCCCATTCGTTGCGGTGAACGCACAACGGCGTCATTTAAATTGTCATTCTTAGGCGGATGACGCCGATCGACGTAAATTATATTTTGGCCATAACTTGACCAATTTCTATTCTAAAGGGATATACTTTTTATATGCGCACGTTTTACATACACATACTATAGTCTCCGTCTCTGTAAATAATGATTTTAGAAAAAGAACTTCTCAGTTTTCCCGTCACGGTTCTTTAAACGAAGTCATCCGAAGGTCTCTTGTCTCCATAAATATCCCCTCGGTTTTAGAGCTAGAGATCCGACGGTATGACTTTGGTCCCTTGGGAGAGAGGTAAAGCCCTAGTGTGGGATGCTACTTGCGTTGACACTTTGGCGGCCTCTCATCTCAAGGGTACCTCTTTTAGAGCCGTGGCGGCATCAGAGGCAGCCCAATTTAGTAAATGGCGCAAATATGAGTCTTTGAGAAATTACTACATATTTGTATATGTTGTTTGTATTATGTATATAAAAGGCAATATAACATTTCTTCTTCTTCCTCATTAGCCAGTAAATGTCCACAAATGGACATGGACCCCTCATTAGAAGAATATTTGCCTTAATCGTCACCCTTGACAGTGGTGACGTCCCGCACCTTTGGCACTCTTTCCCATCGCCAGTTGGTGTATTTTAAATCCGGCGACGATTTACCGCCATCTATTGGAAGCCACAAAAACAAAATCATTCTCATTTTCCCGTAGTCGCGTCCTACGACACCCATGGGGTAATGGTTTCTATAAAACTAAAATGAAAATAAAAAACCCAAAGAAGTAAAAAATAAGTAACTAAAAAGTAAATCTAAGACAGTTAAATAAAAAATTATGATAAACAATATAAAAAGAAAAAAAAAGAATAATTACCATCTTCTGAAGAACTTTCCAATAATACAACATTCTCTTCATTTATCGAGTCTTTATTCTGTATTTTATCTTGTGACTGACTACCCAACAGCTTGGGCTCATTAACTGTATTAATTTAAACAAAGAACTTCAATTTATATAAAACTAACTGCGTAACCCAGCGTTGTCCGCGGAGTACTCAAACTAATGTGATATTATTAAGATTATATATATATTCTATTTATTATTTTATATGAGCTGTGGTAGCTCGGGGGCTAAGCGCACGCTGTAACTTTCACAGTATGCGAGCAACCCGGGTTCGATCGCCGCCGGCACTAATAAAATTGCCTGTAGCAATTATAAGTGCTGATTTACCAGATTTTCGGCTGTGAAGGAAAACATCGTAAGGAAATCTGCATGAAACATATGTGCATAAAACATAAGAAAACCAACATCTGAAGTCCGCCAAACGCATTGTGGCAGCGCAGTGGACATTTCCTAACCCTAAAATGCTTTCAAAAATTGGAGAATGCCAGTAGTGAGACATATATAGGCTTTGACTTTACAAAATTTAAAAATATTTAACATTATGAAATATATTAGTTTAAACTTTCTAGATAGACTTTCTAATATAACTAGATCATTCTTGGGTGAGAGTGAATGTTGAAGAAGTAAGAGATTTCTGAAGGGATATTTGAAATATTCCTTTGAGTCTCTACCAACGTCTTTGTAAACATTTTGCAACCACATATTTTCAGCCACACAACTTACCCATGCACAGCCATTGCGTTCAAGCTCTCCAATAGTTGGAATTATATTTTTTTACTTATTACAAGCCATTGCTTCACTAAAATTCCCATCTGATGGTAAGTGGTGAAGAAGGTGGTGGATGATTTTAAAGTGAATAAAAAATATACAAAAGTACCATTACATTTTCTATCCATCCATTACAGCCTATTAAAGTCCACAGCTGAACATAGGCCTCCATAGGAGAGATATTGCCATAGTTGCCATGCTTAGCAGGCGTGTTGGCGACCGCAGTTTTTTTAATAATTTTGAGTTATTATCAGGAAGATGCTAGCCTATGTTCTATTTCAGTTTCCCAATGCCGCCTTTAACGACACTTACACCTACCATAATATAAAGTAGTGGATATTTTTACACCTCTACACAGTTTTACTCTATAGAGATATTAAACTCAGATATAAGAGGTCAGTGTCCCGCAGTGATATGTAAATACGTTTTAACTTCGCGAATTTGACTTTTATATTTTATAGGTGAGATTATTATATATGGTAGAGCCATACTGCAGCTATATTATCAAAATACCAGCATAAAATAACAGCTTAACGCTGCTGTATTTCGTATGGTGAGTGTAAAGAACCGGAGATCTTTTTTACTGGAAACGAGGCATGCCATCTCAGTCATCAGGGGTGACAACGCATCAGCGTTATATTTCTTAATTGAAGATAAATGTAGATGTCTGTGAGCCACAGCTTCCATTTACCATAAAGTGGACTGTGTGCTCGGTGGTCATCCTTATTCCTTAAAAAAATGTAAAAATCATTTTTGTCCTATATAAAGATTGAGTACAACCCTAAAAAGTTATAGAGCTCTTTATGTATATCAACATATGTCGATATAACCATCTTATTTATGCCAGAAAATACCTAGACCAACAGCGGGATACAATGTCAAGGTGCGATATATATGGTAGTGCGATCGTTAATCAGTCTGCCTAGCCTAGAGATTAGGGCAAAACTTCTTCAATGGAAGAGGCTCATATCATGGACTGAACTTTTACCAGGTGATTTTTATTATTGGCGCAAAACCATATATTCCTTTCATTATTTTATAAATCTTACTGCACCTCTGCTTACTCAACCCGCTGACTGGACAGAACAGCTCAAGGCACTTTTGTACATTTTATGTAACAAAGTTTTAATAAATAAAGACAGTTATAGCCTTTTCTGCATTGCTTATATGAATTACTTATAGTACTTATTTATAAATAATAGAAAAAATACAAATTAAAAAAAAACTAAATACAAAGGTACCATTGGCGGCCTTATCGCTTACAAGCGATCTCTACCAACCACATAGCAGAGGATATATAATAGAATGACCTATGAGAAAGGTTAACGGTGAACGCGTTATTTTCAAATACATACAATATAATTATATATTCAATAAATACATCTTTATATATAAAAATTACGTGTCATATTGTTTGTCCGCGATGAACTCCGAAACCACTCAACCGGTTTTTATGAAATTTTGTAGGTGTGCATTGCTTGCTCTAACTTGAGAGATTAGTTTTTATCCCGATAAGTGACTGAATATTTTTTATTGCGAATTTAAAGATTTTTTAAGGACAAAGGGTGGTCGGAAAGAGCAGAACAAAGTCTGCCTGGCCAGCTAGTACACATATTATAATAATATAATGAATATATTTCATTTACAAAAAATGCATATACAAGAGCATAAAGGAGTGAACAAATAAGTAAAATAAAACCCTTAACGCAAGAAAAAAATAGCAATTTTAATAAACGACGTGAGTTCAGGGAGAGGTAAAAGAATGATATAATATTGCTATTTAAGGAGGAAAGAAGTGCGCTTTCACAAGTTTTTTAAAATTTTCAATTGATTACGCACATCTACGGCGCAGCGGTAAGGAGTTTGAAAGCCGAACAGCTTCAATAGAAAAGGATTTAGAGTTAAAAAATGTATTAAGGGATGAAATTTTTAAGGTGAGGTTTTCATTTTTTTATAAAAAAAATGGTTGTCTGTAAAGTCGGTTTATAAACAAAATTGAATATTTATAGAATTATCACTATTTTGTATGGATACAAAGAAGGGGTGAAATGAAATCTACATTGGTTTGAGCCTTAAAGCCGATCGTGCCTTTCGCTCGTTCGTGTTGCGCTCTCGCTCCGATCGTGTTCCGTTCGGTTGGAGCGTAACGGGACAATGAGTCATCATTTCGTGCATGCAGTCGGCGTTTGTCGATTTAGCTTTGACGTTGTCACGTCAAACAGACGCTAAATAACTAAAAGGATATACCTAATATACCTTTATAGCTTGTTAAGTATGTATCAAAACACAGTGTGTAAAAAAATTATTGCTTTGATCGCGGAAACTATTTCCATATGTGGAAATTATTAATTATTTTAGTTATTTGTGAACGGCTTTCACTTTTCATTAAAAATTTAATTTTTCGACCCTTTTTAGTGGACTAAAAAATATATCAAAAACTCAAGGTAATGTTTAGAATGTCATCTAAATAGTTACATTAAAAGCGTTTCCCTTTTATTCCCTTAGGGGTAGAATTTGGCGAATAATTCCAACACTATATAGGAACACTCCCAATGTATAACCTAAACTAAATGGGTTATATAATAATATTAATATCAATTTACAATTGACGATGACATACATAACATTATTCCATTGTCTAATAAAAAAGCAATATTTTCAAGTGTATTATACATAGCAGAGTGGCTGCAGCATGAAAAGATCAGCTCTACCAGGGAATATTAAAATAGGCTTTCCGTGTTATCCTGCAGGCATGACAACATATCTGTATTATGATTCTTAATTGAGAATAGATGCAACTATTATAAAATAAAGTTAGTTTAGTAAGTTTCTCCTTAGCTTTTGAGTATTATTTTTCTTTATTATATTGAATATTAAAACGTAATACCTTGTTCATCTTCCATTTTGGACAAATGTGTTTTGCAGTCATCATTATCTTCACTTAACAACGATTTTAAAATCCGACACTGCGCAGTGTCTGCTGTTGTTTGCTCAATAGCTTCATCAGCTGCATCTTGAATCTACAAAATAAATGTAAATATTTATTTTTTGCTCAGTGCGGATTTTTCGGTAGAGATATTAATTATAGAGGTATTTACACAAGATTCCTTCATTAAAGTAATGTACTTTTAAAAAAACAATTAAAGCGACAGTAGTAGTGAAAGGAATAGCCCGCCAGCCAGGTCCTACTAATGTTAAAGCTCATGAATGCGAATCCACCATTCGACTACTGTGGTGAAGCACCTCTGACACAAGCATTTGATGCGTAACTTCGTTCGTTCCGAGAACATCTCTTTGCACATTGCGAGTGAAAATGAATTCAAAACGAAAATTGAAAGCACTAACATACTTATGCTGAAAAGTCAAAAGCGATCGAAGCAGTGAAAAATGGTTTGAAGAGGAAAGACGTTGCAGTCCAGTTTGGAATACACGAGAGTACATTATCAAAAAAGAATCATATTAAAAAAAGAAGCTGGATTACTGAAGAAGCAAGAATCGGGAGAAAGTCATCTATTTAAAAGACGAAAAATTGCTGAATATCCTAATTTAGAACAATGCTTGTTTACATGGTTCAGACAGTGCATAAATAAAAACATTAGTGTTAGCGGACCTATAATAAAGGTAAAAGCTGAAGAGTTTGCTAAGTCACTGAAAATCCGTAATTTTAGAGCTAGCAATGGCTGGTTGGAAAATTTCAAGAAACGATATGATCTGACCTTCAAAAAAGTTTGCGGTGAAAGTGCAAGCGTAACCAAAGAAGTTTGCAAAGGATGGAAAAGTCAATTAGAGAATTTATTGAATGGATACGACCTCAATGATGTTTTTAATGCTGACGAAACGGGACTCTTTTTCAAATGTCTTCCCGACAAAACATTAAAATTCAAAAATGAAAAATGCCATGGAGGGAAACACAGCAAGGAACGACTAACGATTCTGCTTTGTACAAATTCTACAGCAACAGAAAAATTTAAGCCATTAATGATTGGCAAATCAAAGAAACCTAATTGCTTTGCGGGTTGCAGATTACTGCCTCTGGATTATGAAGCCAATAAAAAAGCATCGATGACTGGAGAGCTTTTTAAAAATGGCTTATTAAAACAGACAAACAAATGATTACCGCAAAAAGAAAAATTGTTCTCTTCATAGATAACTGCACAGCACATGCTCATGTACCTCCATTGAAGGCTATTAAAGTTCAGTTTCTTCCAGCAAACATAACATCACAACTTAAACCGCTGGAGCAAAGCATAATTAAAAACTTCAAAACATTTTACCGAAAAGAAATTGTAAAAAAAATGATAACTGATATGGAGCAAAATACCGTTTCTTCTATCAATGTCTTACAAGCAATGAGGATGGTAGACAAAGCTTGGCGAAATGTGACATCCAATGCAGTGAAAAACTGCTTTATAGCCTGTGGTTTTCCAGTACACATGCAAGAAGGTATTGAAGTGGATGGCGATAAAACGCCTGAAGAATGGAATAAGTGTATGTCTCACTTAGAAATAACTTTCGAAGAATTCGTCACATGCGATGATGAAATAGCCACAGCGGGAACGTTAACAGAAGAAGAAATAATGGATACCGTTATTCATGGTATTGAGAGCGATAATATAGACGAAGATTTAAATGACGAGCCACAAGATCCACCTACGAATATATCTATCAGCGAAGCAAGGAAAGCTGTAAACACTTTACGATCTTTTATAGAGCAATGCAGTAACACAGGGGATGATATTTTCTCTTCTTTATTTAATATTGAAAATAAAATTGATATAGAAATTGTGAACAGATTGAAACAAAAAAAACGACTTTTTAATGTAGAATAAAATAAACTTGAATAAATGTATCTTTAAACCTAATATAAAGTACATTTAAAAGTTTCATTTGCATTTAACCTAACTCGTGTATCTACGTATATAATTATCTACATATATAATTGTGACACAAGGTTCGTTTATGAGCTTTGTTTTAGAATTACAAAACTAAGCTCACAAACGAACCTCTGTAAGTCCTAACATAAACCAATAAAAGCTCCTTAACTTAAACCCTTAAACTGTAAGTAAAAACCACAATAATTCAAATTATTTAACGTTTCCCTTGGTCTTATCTTATCGAAGTTCTACTGTAATAATCAAAAGATTCATTCATCATCATCACAGCCCTTCACAAGTCCACTACTGAACATAGGCCTCCCCCAAGTAATGCCACAAAGCACATTCCTGAGCCACCTGCATCCATCGACTTTCTGCATGTCCTATCTGGTCGTCACTCCATCTAGTGGGGGGTCGCCCTACTCTACGCCTACCGGTACAAGGCTGCCACTCGAGAACCTTTCTTCCCCATCGGTTATCGGTTCTTCGAGCTACATGGCCGGCCCATTGCCACTTCAGCTTACTAATCCGTTGGGCTATGTCAGTCACTCTGGTTTCACTGCGGATATTCTCATTTCTGAGTCTATCACGCAGAGAAACTCCGACCATAGCCCTCTCCATAGCTCACTGAGCGACCTTGAGCATCCTCATACGGCCAGCAGTGAAGGACCACGTCTCAGATCCGTACGTCATCACTGGCAACACGCACTGGTTGTACAATCTAGTTTTCAGAGTTTGAGGTATACCTGACGAGAAGATGTTTCGTAATTTCCCGAACGCTGCCCAGCCGAGTTGAATCCGTCGATTGACCTCTCGGTCGAAGTTGAACTTACCTAGTCGGACTATTTGTCCCAGGTAAACGTACTCGTCAACAACTTCGAGCATAGTGCTCCCAACAACTACCGGCGTAGTGTGACATGGACATTAAACATGATCTTTGTTTTGTCCATGTTCATCTTAAGACCTATCCGTTGGGAGACACCATTGAGGTCATTGAGCATAGTGCTTAGGTCCTTCAGCGATTCTGCCATAAGGACTATATCGTCGTCAAATCGAAGGTGAGTGATGTACTCGTCATTGATATCAATACCGTATCCTTTCCAAACCAGTAGCTTGAAAACGTCTTCCAATGCAGCGGTGAAGAGTTTCGGGGATATAACGTTACCCTGTCTTACACCTCTCTGCAGTTGGATAGGTTTCGAACTCTGGTTTTGTACTCAGATAGCCATCATAGCCCTACTGTACAAACACTTCAGCACTTCGATATACCGACAGTCAACTTGGCACCGCTAAAGACCTGTAACACCGCCCAAATTTCGACGAAATCAAAGGCTTTCTCATAGTCCACATACGCCAGGCAAAGTGGCAGATTGTACTCTTCGGTCTTCTGTACAATCTGCCGCAGGGTATTTATGTGGTCTATGGTACTGAAGCCTTTTCGGAAACCTACTTGTTCGTATACTTACCTACACTACTTGTGTGTAATTATTCTAACGCGTTATTTTATTTACCGACGGCAAAAATAGCACGCAATTTGGATTAAGATGTTTAAAAATGTAATTTGTTTTGAATTTTATGATCAAGAATACACATTTATTGTATACAAACCATTTAGTAAAAGCCAATCTTGAAGTTTATTTTTAACTTTTACATTGGGAGTATTTTAACTCATTATATCCAGAGTTAAAGATTTTAATCGCCATTATGTATGAATGTTCTTCAAAGAACATCAATTTACATTTTGGAAGGTATAATCTCTTATTAACGGATTAGTAAGCTGAAGTGGCATTGAGCCGGCGATATAGCCCGGAGAACCGACAACCGATGGGGAAAAAAGGTTCTCGAGTGGCAGCCTCGTACCGGTAGGCGTAGTGTAGGGCGACCCTCATCTAGATGGAGTGGCGACCTAGTAATACATGCAGGAAGTCGATGGTTGCAGGTGGCTCAGGACTATGCTTTGTGGCATTCCTGGAGAAGGCCTATGTTCAGCAGTGGACTTGTAAAGGGCTGTAATGATGATGATTCTGTTATTAGATTTTTCTTTAAAACTTCTCTTAAAAATAATGTGTCTCATAATAAATAAAATATTGAGTTAATAAAATTTTACTTACTATTTTGTCAGAAATTTCTTCTTCTGCTTCAGCATTGTCACTAGGTTTTATGACGGGTGATTGCTATAAACAAAGTATAAGATATAATAAAAGCATTGAATAAAAGTAACAGTAGTAATTAACTTAAGATATAATGGGTTTGATAAAGACCTGGATTTGTTTAGGATTATTATGAAATCAGCATTACTCAAAAATGAAATTTGGGAGATTCCGACTATTAAGTGAAAAGAAGTTATATCAACAACATGGTTAATGTGCAGCAGAGGTGTTCCTTGGTGCCTCAAAGTGGACATTCATATTATTTATGAATTATAACTTGTAATACTTAATTTTGTGAAAGTTCTAAATTTGTAGGAACACAGAAAAACACTTTTAACAATCATTTCATCACAATCAAACAGTGATGTGTAATAAAAAATAATTATAGTACATTTCATCACAATCCAAAAAAATCCAGGGCAGGATTTTGATAAAATCCTGGATAAACTCAGGATTATAATGAAATCGAGTCTACAATTGCGCATAGGTATTCCTGCTTCTTATCAAAATTCCGATTTCATCAAAATCCTGGACACATAGATTTTCATACTTCAATTTTATTCAATTCATCCTTGGATTCATTCTTCCCATTGCCTTATGGTAAAAAAGGTTAAAAAAACTAATTTAAATTAAATACTAAAATATTGTTAGAGCTCGCAGTAAATTTCACAGTACGCGAGCAAACTGGGTTCAATCCCCGCTGGCACCAATGAAATTGTATATTTCAATTTTATTTTTATTAAATAAGTGCTGATTTACCACGTGCTCGGCAGTGAAGGAAAATATCGTGAGGAAGCCTGCATGTCTGAGAAATAAGAAAAAAATTATATTTCGAAAACATGTGAAGTTCGCCAACATGCATTGGGGCAGCGCGGCGGACGATTCCTTGTTTTAAAGCCCTCTCAGAAATGAACAGAGGTCTGTGCCCAGGAGTGGGACATATATAGGCTGTAACTTTAACTTTAAATACTTATAAATATAATATAAATATAAAATATAATAAATGTTTCTGTTGAACCATTTAAGTTAACATCAATTAAGTTTTATTTATATTATAATAATAATTAATTATAATAAGAGTAGTATAATAAGAGTATTTAAGTTAAAAAAACAGGTTTCTCAACTGTAAAAAATCTATCACACTACTGCCCTATTCGAGTGCATGTTGGCAAGTTTTATGGACATAAAGATTAAATTGGTTGAAGATGGATTTTGTCTATATAATTGATTTGTTTAATCTTTTGTTGAGTGATAATGAAAAAGGTAGTGGACAGTAGCATTTTCCTGAATACAACGCAACATTTGTAAATTTTAAATACTTGAAATACAGAATGACACATCATTTTTTTTTTAAATTATTATAAGCCAGTGCTTAGCCACAATCCCAATCTAAGTGAAGTAACTGGTGATGAAGACCTTGATATTAAAACTAGTTTTAACGGATTTTATTGCATATAATATTTAACTTATTTTATATTCCCAATATTTCAATAAAATACGTTAATATAGGCGATAAAATCCGTAAAAACTAATTTTATTTAAATGTGTAGTGTTCGCATAAATATAACAAATCATAATACATGGATATTTAAGTTACTTACATCAAAAAGTTCAATGTCCGTCTTGGTGTCTTTTTCATTTTTACTGGAAACATCTACACTCATAACATCACATATTTGCAATTCACAATCTTCATTTGCCATAGTCTTTACTAAAGATGTTTCCGATAGTTCTTTTTCTGTTGAGTCTTGTGCATTATCAATTTCCATTTCCACATTTTTAGGCAAGTCTGTCTCTAATTGCACAGCATTAGAATCTTCTGAATAGTCTGCTATCATTTGATTACTACTCTCTACAAAGAAATAAAGTACATACTGTACACCAACATTAAAAAAGTTAAAAGAATATTCTAAGAAATAACAATGCCATCAAAAACATAACTTGTAAAAAAAAACCAAGTCTCGCAACTCAGTTCTATCGTAAAAAGTTGTGAGATCCATGTAATATCAAGTCGGTTAATTTATTCTATCCCTACTTAAGGGTCCTTTTGTCTTAAGTTATTATGTAATTAGCTAAGATAACAACATCTTGTTGTGACCATATCAATATTAAAATCTTTTATGTTTTAAATAAATAGATTGACTTTGGCCATCATATGAAAACACAATGTATCTCACAAGTAATACATATTATATTAAATTAGATTGCTTAGTGCGATTGCCAAGTCAATCTATTTATTAAAGATTTTTAATATTGATATGGTCACAATAAGATGTTGTTATGTTTGCTAATTACATAATACAGAAGGACCTTTAAGTAGGGACTGAATAAATTAACCGACTTGGTATTACATGGATCTCACAACTTTTTACGATAGAAGAACTGAGTTGCGAGACTTGGTTTTTATACAAGTTATGTTTTTGATGGCATCTCATTTCTTTTTGCAGATAGTCCTACTTTTTTTCCTTCCGGTACCTTCTACTTCTTGATTACCAACAAAGTACCTATCTACACCTTTTATTCCATTATATTATACATATACAGACACACTGATTCATTCACTGCAAATGTAACTTTGTAATTTAAAAAAGTTATTTATGCAGTTAGTGTATCTAGAAAACTGGACCGAAATTGAAAAATATTTTAGTTTTTCCTTAATTTATTCACTAAACAATGTGTTCCAAGTTTGAAGCTTCTATGTCTGCTAGAAGTGCCTTAGAGTTTTGATGATTGATCAGTCAGTGAGTAACAAAATTAAGAAACTTTGCTAATTATAATTCCTAAACTACTGGTTTAAATTGAATGAAATTTGAAATGTACCATGTCTATACAATGCCTACATGGTTTCTGAAAATTCAGGATTCTAGTACTATCTACAATGAAGTTATAGGGGGTCAAAAATGGCCTAAATTGCTTTGAAAAAAGTATGGTACGGCCGTGCCGCTTTTTTGCTCACTGCCGTGCCCCCAGATATAAAAGTTTTTTTTTGATATAGAATAAAGGTGACAAATGAACAAACATATCCACATAGTCTACCTGATACTATGTGGATGCCCTGATCCACAGACATCTACATCTATCCTCAAATTAAAATCAAAATGCAGATGTGTTGTCACCACTGAGGACTAAGATGGAATACCTTATTTTCAGTGAAAAGGGTCTCCGGTTCTCTGAACTTACCATATGAAACAGCAATAAGCTGCTATTTTATGCTGGTATTCAGTGAGAGTGTAATCCTTTCCCGGTCTAGCCGACCCATTTATGCCGCTTATAAATATTAAATAAAAAGTTACCTTCATCTTGGTCAAATTCTTCATCATCATCACCATCATCATCATCTTCTTGCTCCTCGTCATACTCCAACACTCTTGTTGACTCTGCTAAGAGACCAAGACTATCAGACACCTCACCCACTTCATCAGAGTCTCTTCTCATTTCCATGATCATACAAGCTTGAGAAGTTGATGGTTGTGGTTCATCCATTACATCTGTGACTTTTTGCTCACTATCTAGAGAACATGTTTGTTTATCTTGCTGTTGATTTGATTCAGTTATTTCTTGAAGTGGTGTTGTTTCCAAGTTTAGTTCTACTTGGTTTTTACAAATCAACTCAATACTTATATTGCTACATTTAGTAACAGTTTCTCTTTGGTCACTGCTTTTAAAATCTAAGTCGGCTTGTCTTTCTATAGTCACAGTATCCTTACTCTTATTTTCTGATTTTATGTCCATATTTGAAGCTGTAATTGCATCAGTTCTCAATAATTCATTATAACCTTGTTTTATGTTTAGAAGATATTTATTAAAAGTTGAATCGCTATTAAATGATGGATTATTATTTATTTTTTTCTCATTTGGTAAATCATCACTATCAGTTGCATCAGTATTTAATGCTTCTTTCATACTAATTTGCTCCACATTTTTAACATTCTCATTAAGAGTTGCATTAGTATTTAATAACTCATTGTCAATATGTTTCACATTTTGTATGTCTTCATTTATATTAATATCTGTATTTAATGATTCATTCTTACAGATTTGTTTGAGATTTTGTATATCTTCATTCATAGTTGCATCGGTATTTAATGATTCACTATTAATAACTTGCATCACCATTTTCACTTCACCAATAGATGCATCAGTATTAAATGATTCATTACTACCAATTTGTTTCACATTTTGTATATCATTAATAGTTGCATCGGTATTTAATGGTTTACTATTACTGACTTGCTTCACATTTTTTATGTCTTCATTAACAGTTGCATTATTACTTATTAATTCATCATTATCAACTTGTTTGACAGTTTGATTATCTTTATTAATAGTTGCATTAGTATTAAATGATTCATTAATACTTGGTTGCTTTACATTTTGAGTATCATCATTAATAAGCAGACCAGTACCTAGCGATTCTATATTACTGATTATATTCACACTTTGTTCGTCTTTAATAATTGCTTCCTCAATGTTTAATGATACATTAACAATTTGTTTCTCACTATGTATATTTTTATTAATAATTGATTCAGTATTTAATAATTCATTACCACTCATTTTTTGCACATTTAGTAAATCATTGTTAATAGTTGTAACTATATTCAATGATTCATTATCACTGACTTTTTTCAATTGCTGCTCATCTACATTAATGGTTGCATCAGTATTTACTGATATGTTAGTACCAGTATGTTTCATGTTTTGTACATCTTCAGTACCACATAATTCGATACCCACATCATCTGGAGACATTTCCAAACTACTTAAAAGATCTGGTCCGTCATCTTCATCATCCGTAAATTCAACTAATTCCTCTGAAGGTATTTCTAACATCATATCAGGTTTATTCAGGCCATGTTCTGTTATAATTTCTACAGAAGTATCTAGAACTGAAACCTTTGGTTCTACATTATCCTCTTCATTATAATTTTTAGGAGAATATATTACTTCCAAGTCTTCTTTAATATTTTTGTTACTTTGTGTACCTTCAAATGATGTTTTTGTTGCTACTTCCATGTCTATTTGTTCTTCAGGCGAATCTTTAACATCAACTTCACAGGAATCATTTTCCTTCATACAAATAACAGCATTACCTGAATCTTGTATTTCCTCACAACCTATATTTAACTCATCATCGTCATCATCATCCCATCTCAACTGTATTTCGTCATCTTGAATATCACTATTATTTTCATCATCTATAAATGGTTTTAATTCAGTGTCAATGGCCAATTTGGTATCAAAATTTTCTTTACAAGATTTTCCATCACAAATAATTTCTGATATTTCAATCTCTGGTGGTGGTACTAATGGATCCATCTTAACAGGTGTTGATATCAACTGTTTATCCATACAATTATTGATTTCGTCCTTTCCATCTGTGGTACAATGCGTAATACTTTTATTAGTTACACTTTGCACAGATTGTTCCTTTAAATTACTATTTATATTATCATTAATAGCATCAGCCTGAACTATACAATCAGTATAACTATCATCAGAATTTCGTGAAACACCATCTTCTAACTTCGACAAACCTGTACTTCGAATATCATCTTGAATTGGATTTATACTTAAATCTTGTTCAGGATCCATGACTGAATAAACTTTTTGTTACCCAAATAAACCAATATAAATCATGTCATTAACGACTTATTAAAAAAAATTCTTATTTACCATATGAATCAAAAAAATCAGAATAGTTATATATTATTTTAAAGATAAATAAAAAGGCTCATAATCACTTTAGTGTATGTATTTTAATATCACCGCAAATATAAACGGCATACGCATCTACAAAGTACAAATGACAACTCTTTGTCTTTGCTTTTTGCTTGATTTGACAGTTCTTTTACCTGAGGATATTCGATATACATCGATGCATCGAATTCCCTCGATGTGTACAATACGATACATCGAATCAATCCGATGTTTTGGAAAGTTATTGATACACTCGATGTATCGATATATTTCTTTAAAACATCGAATCAATGATTAATATAATAGAATCAGGCGTTACTTTGCGGAAATACATTTTTTTAATTATGTGTGAGCAGGTCTAAATAAAGAGACCACTATCAACGCGACCTAAAAGTTCTATTGTAATCGCTGCTACGGCTACAATTCATTACTAAGCCCTATGTCTTCAATGATTAGAAGGAGTTGCTTAGCCGTGAGCAGTTTCACTTCTTCTGTCAGATGAGTGTTACGTCGCAATCAGATAGGATGTGCAGAGGCGTTTCTTCCGTTATGGAACAGAACCGGCATATCCTTGAGTTGCTTAGTCCCAGAATGGACACATGTTTTTTATGACACAATGTCCAGTTAGGGCTCTTGCTAGAATGCGCAATATTTTTACTTAATCCCAGGGCTTCTGAAGCGAATTTATTATCAAAAGCTCGGATTGACGTTTTAGAATGTTTTAAGCCAGGTGTTGGTTGACAGGGTTGGTGAATGGTTTCATGTCTCGTAGGCTGGGTGGTCTGACCACCTAGCCTACGAGACCCGATTCTCTAATTAGATTATTCTGTCAAGGTTACAATAAAGAAAAGAAAGCGGGCGACGCGGGAGTCGTAACTTAGATATGTGTCACATCCATATAACGTACGCGTAAATATTGGAGACTATGAAAACGTAACGTAATTATAAACAAATTAATGATGCGTAAAATACACCGTTAAATACATGTAAAGTTCTTTAAAATATATACACTTAGACTTACCATAAAACCGTTAAGAGCGGAATATGCATAAGAAATACACAAACATAAAACATACTCTAGAAAACCATGACTTAGCTTCGGCCTCTGCCGCGACAGTCAAGTAAAAATATCTACATTAGGTAAAATTAACGTAATATAAAAATGTAAACGAAAATTACCTTTATTTTTTATTAATTAATTAGAGTTTGTAAAACGGTAAATTCGATTTCAAATTATAATTACTAATAGATTAATACACAAATATAATAGAATGACTGTTCGTCTACACAAAAAATAATAACACACTAAATAGTCAATAAACTTGCAACTTTTTAGGCATTTCTACCTACACGTGCCGCCTGCAGCCCCTCTGATTGATAGACAGAGACGCAACTATAATACTGCGTGCTTGACAAGGACATCCTCAGAACTACGACCAGATCAAGTTGAACCCACACGTTTTTAGTATTTTAAGATTATTAAATGTTGCATTTACCGGTGAAACATGATTTTATCCTTTTTGAAATTATGTTTCCTGCTATCCCTAACACACCACCTTACTGCGCAAGAAGGGATGTTTTGTTTTTTTTTTTTATTATAAAAAATTGTAGCGCTAAGGAAGCAGTGCACAGGTCTGTTGTGTGGTCGATACTAAATAGGGTACTAATAGTGTACTAATATAGGACCCGGTTGAGCAGACGAAATACAGAAATTTGTCGCCTTTCGTTACATGTCTTGTAGACTGGGTGGTCTATGGTCAGACCAGATCTTAAGTGATTTATTGTAATAAACTAATAAAGTGTTTCAAGGGTCAATCGGGCTAGGCTTCTTGAGATTCCACAAATTGTCTCAAGTCCAAATCGTCGCTCTTTGAGACCTCCCGTGCAAGTTTGTCGGCAAATTCATTGACTGCAATACCCGCGTTACCCAGAACCCATCTTAAGACGACCCTGTTGTTACATCCATTATATTAAAAATATTAATGGTTACCTTGCCATCCGCTCAATAAATTATTTATTGAGTGGATGGTTGCAAAGTAACTATTGTTGCTCGCCTAAGTTGGTGTCTGGTACTTGTAACTAGCGCCATCTAGTGTCGGGAAACAGAGCGATGAGAGCTTTCTAAAAATGCCCTGCCTGAACTTTCCACCAACAACGCCATCTAGTATCGAATAGAAGAACTAAGCTTTCTTGAAAGCCCCACACACGAACTTTCTGCACCTCGTCGATCGGGACCGGTATTTGCTGGAATATTCTGTAAGTTTCGGTGGGAAAGGCCTATAAAAAGCCCTTGCAAGCCGAGATCGGGGTAGTATTGAATTGGCGATACGAGCGAAGCTTTCAGAGTGAAATAAAGTGAACTAAAATAAAGTGTGAATAATTATTAGTGTGATTTAAGTTTTAATTGGTGTTCAGTAATTAAAGTGACAATTTCGGTAATTCAATCGGCAGTTTTTATTGTCACGAACCATAAGCTCGTAATACTATTAATATCTTTAATCAATGATGAATGCTTCTCCAGCTATTACTATTAATACCATAACATTCTAAATCTATTATAATCTCGGATATAATATAGAACCCGTTGGTGGCACTAGTTGGCAGCTGTCAATGCCTTACGCGACAATTGAAATTGACTGGTTGGCAGCACTGTGTAAGAGAGAATTAAAAAGTAATCTGTTCTATTTGAGTGAGCTTTGAATTGAAATGCTAAGTCAAATTTGATTTCAACTGTGTCGTGAATGTGCACTCTTTACAGAACGGAATAGGATTTTTATTTGTGAGGAAAATCCCATCGTTTCTGTACATGTCGATTGGATATGTAAGTAAAGTAATTAAGAAGGTTTTTAGGTTAGCTCATTTATTATCTTATGAACCAATTTTATAATTTAGAGAATGAAATAGTAGTAGATAGGTAGATATTTTATAATTTGTAAGATACTTTACAACACAAACTATCTATATTTTACTGCACAAATTTCATCGAATTATTCGCAATCGAATCGCGAAGCCACCTGAACAAATTAAGATACAAGTTAAGTAATAATTATTATAATTATGTTTTAACAGATACAATAAATGGTCAGTCGAAAAAAGTACTCGATTTTTAAAAAAACATCGATGTTTCTAACCGATGCATCGGTATACATTGATCCACAATTTCGATGCATTACATCGAAAGAAAACAACGATTTATTTTGAAGTGGACACTCCTATTTTTTATTAAATGGCTTTACGGCTCTGGATTCTAGACTTTCTGAGCCTACCATTTTTTTGTAATCTTCATTTTATATTCTTTTCTTCACAATATGCTGATGTGTCACATTGCGAAGCCCTTGGGAGGTTTTGACGACAGCTCAACCTAACGGACATTTGATGACGACAGCCACTCAAGTTCATAATGTGCCCAACCGATCAAAATAACTTGAGGTTTATATCGACATAAAACCACTTGTTTCGTAGTTTTCTCTAATAGTTCACATACGCGGACACTTAATTCACAAAATCGTATCACTTTTACGAATCAAAATCCACTTCGAACCATTATTCAAACGACAAAACAGGAGCGACAATCCGTCTACGGCCAAGAACCTGCCAAAACTCGAGACCCCTACTTTTTCCTTTGGTTCATCAAGTATAGAGGTCACATAGTAGAATAGTTGAAAAAGTGGTCATTTGTAAGCAGTAAATAACAATTCAAAAACTCTCCACAACAGCGCTGGAGTAGCTACTGGGATGAAATGAACTTAGCATTTGTCGACGGTTTAAGTGTGCTGCTAAACTGCTGCTAAAATTATTTTAGATAGTCTAAAATTTATTTAGTAAATATAACATCGAAAAAGTCGTTTATCGCACTAATATTTTTCAGTGCGTTCTTTAAAATTTACCCCGTAGCTATAGTGGCGTCACCCTTATTTAAAGTATTTTATCGACTCTTTTTAATACACAGTATATACTCCTTACTTCTCGTAGACAGAGAAACCTAAAGACAAATTGACGCCTTCTTTCGCATTCGCACACGAAAAAGATAGATTTATGCATACATCTTGCGTAGAAATGAGATAGAGCGGTGTGATTGTTTGTCCCTTTCTGCGTGCCGGTTTTTTTGTTTAGCAAACTACACTTTGCTAAACAACTTTGACAGTTCGTAGCGATCTAAGGAGTTTACAAGTTGGTTTAAGTGAGAAAAAAGTGTTTTGTGAGCTTAAGATTGGTGAATCTTGTTCAGTTCAGTTCTTAGAACAATCAAAAATTTTAGCTAAATATGTTTAAAAGTCATAAAGGTTATTGTATAACCTAAAACCACGTTATCGTCCTTTCTCACTTGAGGCCAAGCTAATCATTAGTCTATAGGTTTCTCTGTCTACGTTACTTTTCGTATACAGAGAAAACTATAGACAAATTGACGCCATCTTTCGCATTCGCACACGAAAAAGATAGATTTATGCATACGTCTTTCGTAGAAATGAGACAGAGCGGAGTGATTGTTTGTCCCTTTCTCCGTGCCGTTTTTTTGTTTAGCAAACTACACTTTGCTAAATAACTTTGACAGTTCGTAGCGATCTAAGGAATTTACAAGTTGGTTTAAGTGAGAAAAAGTGTTTTGTGAGCTTAAGATTGGTGAATCAGTTCAGTTCTTAGAACAATAATTTTTTTATCTAGACATGTTTAAGTCAAAGATTATTGTATAACCTAAAACTACGTTATCGTCCTTTCTCACTCGAGGCCACGCTAATCATTAGTCTATAGGTTTCTCTGTCTACTTATTCTTTTCTTTTCATTCTTCTGTGTTACTTCTACACTCCAACCTACTTTGGTCTTTTCTTTTATTTATTAAAATTTTGACTCGGATGCTTGTTTTTTAAGGCACATCTTTATTTCATTCGGTATCATTA